AACAAGACTTCAAGACCACGGCCACACAGCCCGGAAGACCCACACCAGCCATTGAACAGGTAGAGTTCATAGAGTTACAAAACCAACGTATCCCAAAACATAAAACTTGAGGGAAATGTAACTGAAGCTGCAATAAGGGAGATGAATCCAAATTTATTACCATTCCAGATGCTTTGATGTTCAGCTCCCTTCATCCCCAAGCCAATGTACTCAACCTGGGGGCACAGCTGGTACACTCCAAATATAATCTTCCTATGATAATATCCTTCATTGGAAGAATAATTATTTACTTTCATTGCAGTTAGGCTGAAGGGACTGGCTTCAAAATGATGCTTCTGCTTCTCCATTGAAAAACTATCATTGCTTAGGGATGGTTCATGTGTAAAAGGATCAGGTAGCAGATGATAGAACACCTTAGCCTGAGGATCCATATAGCTGAAGAATCCATCAGTTTAGCTGAATATTAATTTGTCTGGCAATGCTCAGATAAATGGACCATCATCTGACCTGACATGGACCAGAATTTGATTCTGCCAGCATGCTGGAAACTCTTAACCACTTCTAGAATAAGAACTGTCCTTATTCTGCCACATCACATCACATCACATCACATCACATCAATGTTTCTCTGTTTCTCTGTTCTCACAGGAAGAGTATTTAGCAACTGATGATATACTTGTAGACTTCTTCAATGAATTTTTGAGTCTCCCAGTAAGTATGCTAAATTTTGGTCAAACACGTACTATAACTATCCCAATAAAATTGATTGAATAGATTGTATAGGGTAACAAACATAGCAGTATATATCTGTATTCTGACCTACTTACCCAGCCCCTCTTGCTTGCCTGCATGTCGTTGCAGATCCTAAACCACATTCCCAGGGTATGAGTGCGCACAGGGAAGCCTTACAGAAAACAGTCCCTCAGGAGAATGTTGTGTAACATTGTGTATCTCACACGGGAAACCTCAGCAAATGTCTTAGTTAAGAGAACAATGCTGCAACGAATGGCAAAGGCCAAAATGGAAAGTAATTGTTGTTTCTTTTGAATGACTGCTGACAAATCCTGACCTGATCATCACGGGGTTTTCTTAGGAGAGTTTTCTCTCTTCAGCCTTAATATGGAGTGTATTTGATATGTCCAGTTTTATTCTGCTGCAGCTCATCATAAGTAATTCAGTGTAATGCCCAGTGAAAGCCTCATTACAGTTTGGTGCTTATGCGGCTGTTACCTGGAAACAAGACCCAGCTATAGCAGTTGATATATAGGCAAAAGGTTAAACTAAAAATATTTCATGCGATTCAGTGTTGACTTTACCACAAGAAACATGCTTGAGAATGCTTCTAGTGTATGACTGTGTTGGAAATCATCCTGCAAACTGGCACTTTTGTTGATCCAGCCAGCCACTGGATGGTCTACTACTAAGATACAGAAGTAGCCCTTTTATAGTTCTTTCTTATATCACTTGCATTTTATTTTTGAAAACTCCAGTACGAACCATATCTCTTTGACTAATGTGCTGATTAGAACCATTACCTTTCAGACATCTCAGCTCAGAATTTATCAAATCCATTTTAATATGTATTTCATGCATTTTTGAAATGTGGGCTTTGATTAGTAATGTATTTAGAATATATACGCACATCTTAAATTGTAAATATATATTTAAGGTATGCGTATAACTAGTGAGAAAATGTTTTCATTATACAATTTTTTAAAAACGCATTGCAGATTAATCCAGATACAATATGGAAAGTAACACGAGCAAAACTGACGTGAGCCAGAACATACCTAAGATCAAACGTGTTCTGGTTGGATCAGATCACAGTGTGGTAGCCCAGGGTAGAACCTTTTCAGGGACAGCACACTGATTCTACTATAGGCTCCCAAGAAAAATGCAACTGGCCACTATGCTGTCTTCTTTTAAAGAAGAACAGAATACTTCCTGTTCACTCAAGCACTTACAGGAAATAGAATTGTTGGTCCTGTTCTTGATGGCTTTATTTAAGGTAGTATTTCTGTCCTTTTGCGCACCTCTCTGACCTCTCTCAAGAGGAAGAGCAGTGTAGAAAAAAATGGATGAATATGTTAATAGATGACTAATATGAAGTCGTACTATAGTATTCTTTTTTCAGTCTAGTGTCCTTCGGATACTTAGGACTACCACTTCCATGATCCCTGATCATTAACTGCATTAGTTGGTCATGGTGGGAGTTGCTGTCAAAGCAATTGCAAGGACCCATACTGGGGGAATGCTCTCAGCATACCTCCAAGCATGTCTAAAATCTTTTTGTACCACTATTTGGGTAATGCAGTTTGACTCTACATATATAGATTAGAGGTAGCTGGAGTCACCACTCAAACAATGTAGCTTAATTTGTTACCGCACCTCAGTGAATTTTTTTTGCACACTTTGCTTCTGCCTCTTAACAATGTCATTGTCCAGAAGTGGGACACAGGTACATTTCTGGATGAACCCTAATCACAGCACATGCTATAGAGCTTTCAATGTATGTTCTAGCAAATATGCCATAGGATTATGTTTGACTAAATCAGAAGACAGCTTTTAGCTTAATTTTAATTGTTCTTATTGTATGCACATTTATAATAATATTACTTATGTTATGCATGTGCATGAGGTACCAAGTGATGGATTTTTCTAATCATACCATAAGAGATCTTTGTCTATAGGAGTGGGTTTTACCAACAAAGATTTCCTTCCATCTTCCTATGTTGATTACATAGGTGAGTGCAGCTTGGATCACCTGTATTAAAGGAGAAGAATTGGATTCAACTAGTCAGCATATGTTGAGGGCTCTGAGATGCCAAATGTGACCCCTCCCATGCTCCAAGCTTCTTTGCATATGTAGGATCCAGTTCAGAAAAGTGAAGTCAGTTGTTGGATTGAGACATATGCCTTTGATTAACTTAGTAGTTTGGCCTAGGCATACTGGCGAAGGCTATTAGTTCTTTCATTCCATTCCTTTATATACATTATAATTGATTGGTAGTCAAGCATCCAAGATGACAATACAATTTATATTTAAAACATTGTTATTGGCATCTGTTTTATTACATTAGAAGGTCCAGATGTTTTCAATTTAATTAATTGGAATGCATTTTGGAAAATGGGTCTTTGGGTTCCATTGCCAGAGTTGAAATTAAAAATAGATACAAGTGATTAATTAATGTTATCCTTGGTTAGTTTTCTATGTAAATAACACATAACTAAAATTATCTAGCATTTGTTAAAATAGTTCCAGATTGTAGAATTTACATGCTTTGTTCACATGTTCGCATAAACCAGCAAATGTTTGATGATTTGGAATTAAAAGTTTATTCTTTTTGTTATTTTAATTTGTATTCCCTCCAATTTAAATAAAAACAGAAACTTTGGCCTGATGTTAGTGCATTGCTAAGGCTGAATATTTTTTTCCCCCAAGAAATGTAGCAATCACAAATTTATGATACTTATGAATGCTAAGTTTGTTATCTCAAGGCCAACCCAACAAAATGAGAAGGAGCTACTTCAGGCAGCTAATTTAAGCAGTCAGGAAAAGGCAGGAAATTGATAGTTACTTCTTATCACTGTTGTATTTTCACTGCCAAGATGAATTTATGAGGATTTTCTGCTCATCAGACAGCACGATGTCATAGGTTAGCCCTGAATGCTCAGAAGTGGAATGGTGAATTCTATTAGTTAGGAAAGGTTCGACACAGTTTTTAAAATGTACTTATAGGCTCATTTTCCAGGAATGCCAAAAGGTTACAGTCATATTCACATTTTTATGAAAGGACACAGTGAAGTTTTATGTCAATTACTGCAGAATCGATTAAGTGGTAGGAGCTTGAATGGACATAATAACTGTGAACATGCATTAATTTCTCTGTGCCTCTACTGGGTGGCATTAATAATGGATATATTAAATTTTTATAGGCAAAAGTCTCTGTTTTAGAAAGTTAGAAAAACAAAGCCTAGGGCTATAAAAGAAATGTAACCGAGAGGGGGAGACCCTCCAAAATTCAAATTATTGTATCAGATAGTTTAAGAAGAAGAGTTAAGCAAAATTCCAGCCCATCCGTTTATCTATAAAATACATGGTTAGATTGTAGCCCTTCAGCATTGTGCTATTTCTGTACTCTAACCTTTAACTTTTCTTGTTTATAGACATTTGCAGAACCAATTAAATTTAATCCTGATTTTGGAATTTTTGAAGTTTCTACTGATGTCCCACAGTACATGGAAAAGCAGCTGAAAAAGATGCTTCGGGAACAGAAACCTCGAAATCCCATTTATGATGTTACAAGGCAGGCGAAGATACAAACCTCTATTTCTAAAGATCTGAGCACCTCCCCTTCCCCAGTCTTCAGTTTTGATCCAAATTATTCAACCATGGTAAGAATAAATTGGTGTTATTCTTATTGCACCTTTAAGAAACATTCATGGAAATATGATATACCAACAATTCTGAAATCTTGTTCTATTCACTGGGGTTCTGTATTTAATCAATCAGATTGATGTTAAAACTTTTTGATCCTGAAATGATTCCTGAATATTCTAAAAGGGATTCAAGCTTGAATTCCAAATGGTTGAATCCCTTTTAGAATATTCAGGGAGCCCAATACGCACTTGAAACATGGGCCATTTCAAACTCAAAATGGGATGTTTCAGATGTGAATATTGAAATCAAAACTTTTGCACACCACTGCCAAAAGTGTATGTGTGCGTGTGTGTGTGTAGGCTTTGTTCAGGCATAGAACTGAAGGGTAAATCCATCTGTCACAACCTTCCTCCTTCCATTCAAACCTTCACACGTGAATAGAATATCATTTAAGCAATTACAGCCGCCTTTCTCAGCTCCAGATGTCTTGGATCTGCAATTCCCAGCATTCTCATTATCGGCTAGCCTGGTCAAATCATTGCTAGAAATTCTGAGAACTGTAATCACAATACATTTGAAGATGGTGGGTTTGGGAAGGTTGAACTATAACAACAAGAATATTTACAGTACAATCCTAAATGAAGAATAATGAATACAATATAGGATTCAGAATAACTTTTCTTTATAAAACTTACAAGATATCTTGGAAGCTGTTCTCCCTCATATGAGAAATATGACTTTGGCATATCTTCTTTTCTCATGGATATTGCAGGCAAAAGGATGGAATTTGTTTTGAGCATAAATAATTGCAAACTTATTTTATTACATCCAGAAATATTGGCTAAAGTAAAGAAGCAGTGCTCAGCCTCTCCAGAAACCATTATCGGCAAGGCACAACTCCTAACAGGAAAGAAACAATTTTATGCTGCCCTGTCAAAAGGTATTATACAGCAGTATCAGAATGTTTATGTCACAGGATGCCAGGGGATACCGTTCCAGTACAATTCTGTAAAAATGAATGAAGAGATCCAAGTAGCAGGTGTTTTTTAGATTTCATCCTTTGCTTAGGGAGCAGTGTTTTGCTCAGGGAATGAATCCTGTCAAGCAACCTTTCTAATACATTTGGGGGATCTGAGAAATGGGGACTATCATCTCATCCTGAATTTCTCCAAGACAATAATATCAATTGTCCTTTTGTCTGCAGTATCCATGAGAAAAGAAGATACGCCAATTTTTCATATTTCTTGTATTAAGGAAAACAGCTTCCAAGGTATCTTGTAAGTTTCATAAAGGAAAGTTATATTGAATCCTGTATTGTTATTCATTATGCTTCATTTAGGATTGCACTATAAATATTTTAAGCCAATTGTTGCTAGATATGAGCAGGGGCAAAGTTTGTCTTCTGTCCAAGATTTATTACGTAAGAGCTTTCAAACATCCTACTTTTAAATTTAAACTTTACAGAAATGTATGGGCTATGGAATAAATGCTTCAAGGACATCTTTCCACAGTGACATTGATTGTGACCAGCCATGTTGCAAAAGATTCTGAGCTGGAGTCTCTGATGCACATTCATTCACACTGCAAAAGTGGCTTGGTCTTCTCACAGTTCCTTAATGCCGTGGTGGGACTGGGCAGCTTATACATTTAATAACAAGGAAGCAAGTAAATATGCTTCTGAGCAGAATTTGTATATAAACGAAATAACACTGCTGTGTTGGAATGCAAGCCCCACCCATTTTCCACATCTGCAGTAAGAACCTGCAACAGCTGCAGTTAGAGCTTGCAGACATTGCTTTGACCTGCCACACTGATCAGGAATGACACACTTATTATGCACTAGTAAGTGTTCAAAAATTGGTTTGATATTAGGGCTTATGTTAACAAAACATAACATGATTTTTTTTTTAAATGCCTGTCTGGTTTTCTAAGAGAGAAGGGTTAGCAAGCCCAGGGGGGCCCTAACACATTAACAGTAAATTGAATTCTCTTTGAAGGGCCATATATTTCAGGAAAATATTGTTGTGATATGTTTCTAGGATCCACTGGGCTCCTATAACGAGTTTGGAAATTACTGGATTATGCCACCCTGTTTGTTAACTATATGCCACATAAAGAATATTTACATATATTTTCTTTTGTTAGTGTCTGAACCGGGAACAAGCTATTGAATGGATTAAAAAGGAAAGATTTCCAGCATTTTTAGAGAGCGATTGTTACTTTGAATACAGGTACTTTGACTTCTAACTGGAATCTAGGTTTTAAAACTGCAAGTTTCTCTCAAAAACAACAACAACAAAAACTGGATTTTTTGGCCCAGCATACATAATTTTAATGACTTCTGAGAATAGTAACAGTGCAACTGACATTTTTATAGCCTCTCACTATGTAACTTTTACAAGCAATAATTTATAGCTGAAAAGTCATAGTCTTTATTTAAGTATTGCTGGACTTTGCTGCTATTAATCAAAATAAATTTCTCACAATATTGCCATTATAACTCATTTCACCTAATTTGGTAAGTATATCAATATATTGCTATTCTTAAAAATGCGAATATTGGCAACATTTAAAGCAAGACATAATACAATCCTTTTGCAGAAGCAATGCCCTGAGGCACTTTGACCTCTGGAAAAAACAAGTGTCTTTCTGCTGGCCATCACTGAAAATCCAGAAAGGTGAAAAATAGATGTATTTATTACAAAAAGTATAAGGAGATAAAGGTAAATGAGTCAACTAGCCATTTCTATGTCAGTTCTGGGTCTCATTTTTAAAGATGAGTTATTCAGCTATGAAACCATGTGCATCAGAAGAACAAAGAACTGTAACTTCTTTGCAATTCTGGATCCATAAAATTTAGTATTTCCAGGCTGTACCCTGGCAGTACTAACTGCTGCATTAGCTGTACAGGCTGAAACTGACGAGGACTCAGGGGAGAGGGAGAGAGAGGGGGAGAGAGGGAGAGAGAGAGAGAGAGAGAGAGAGAAAGATTGTGTAAGTCCTGAGCAAGTGCATTACAACTGACAAGGCTAGAAGAGGAATGGTGAAAAATAACCTGAAGAGGCAGGAGGAACAGGCTTAAGATTTAAACCTTGGAGCTGACAGGCATATATAGAGAGGACTAGATTTCTGTGTTCTGTACCAGGCTGATCTTCTGAGTTAATTCTTTCTTGTCTGAATTAAAACAAATGATCTAGGAGTACTTATAAAATTGTCTCCTAGGTCCTTGGAATTTCTACTGTTAGCTAGTTCCTGAATGCAGGACTGAGTTTCTTGAAAAAGAGATTTCTAGATGAGCCTGACCTGAAGTCTGTTGATACCCTTCAAAACATTTAAAACTCTGAATAGGATTAAGTGTAGGCATAATGGATTAACAAAATGTCTTCAAGGTTTTGGTTTCTTTAAAAGAACAGTAGTTTTGTTGGTGTTAATATTATCTGGATAACCTTAAATTACTTTATGCTGTTTGTCGCCTCTCTGTAGATTAGCTAAACTTATTTCACAGGTGGAATGGAGCAAAACTGGGATCAGTTTTGTTATAGATAAAACATATTATCCTTGGTTCTCAAAAAGTCCACCACCCCTAGAAGTCCCTGAAGAAAATGAAGATGACTTGATTATGAAAAAGTTCTACGTCTCTCTTGGCCAGGTAAAATAAATTGAGTTCTGTAAATAGGGGTATCCCATGGAGAATAAAGTAGGAGAGGGAGACTTTCTTCTCTGGCTCAAGTCAACCCATCAGGGTGACAACTGGAAGATATTACAATCTCCCATATGAAAATCATACCTGTATATGTCAAACATAGTGGTTGTATCTGATGTCTTATTAAAATGCCCACTTACATTCACATTGGTGATAAGAATTTTTAACCCCAATTATTAGGAATTTTAATTTCCCTCATAATGAGGAAATCACTGTTTTCTTTTAAGTGACCAATGTTTAGATGTTCAAAGGGTGGTGGTGAAAATTCTATCTATAGCATTAGCCTATAGAAACTGACTGATGCCTCCTTCCTAGATTTGACTGACTTGGTTTTGTGTCGTTTTTATGCATACATTTTCATTGCTGTATACATTTTAATGTTGCTTTGGTCTTGGATCGCAGAGCAATAAATAATTTTTAATTAAAAATTAAATGTAAGGGGGCATGGAATATGGATGTATGCTTCTTAATATTCCCTTCCATTATCTCACCAATTGATGCCCCCATTTATTTTATTCTTATAACCACCCTAAGAAATGTGTTAAGATGAGAGACAGAATGACTGGGCTGTTCTTACCTGGGGATTTCATAGCTGAATAGAGTTTTGAATGCACATCTCCTCAGTCTAGCACACTACGTCTAAGGCAGGGAACTGAGAGAAGCTGCATGTGTTCTGCCTTCCTCAACTCCACATGACAAACTTTGGAAAAAGTCTTAAATTCTCATGCCAAGAGGGTATTATAAGGGAGACAGCTAGGGGGACAAAGGACAACCTTCTTTTCCCCTTGCTTGACCAACTCTCACTGCAGAAACTGGATCTTTATACATCTAGAAGAAGAGGGGGAGAGAAAAGGGATAAGTGAGGCAGAGAAAGTGAGAGGGAAGAGCAAAAAGATCATGACGGACCATCACAACTGTAGCCCTGTCCATTTTTGGCTTTTGGCCCATCCACTAATGACTATAGGTTCTCCAGCCATGGAATGTAGTCCCCAAATGACCATTCATGAAAGACTGTATCCTTCAACATTAAAAAAAAGTTCATTCCTGCAATAGCTCCTAAAGTCTCCTGGCTTTTATTTTGTTATGAAACACAGTTGCTCTTTTTTCTTTTGCTTGGACCCTGGGCATTTCAGCAATGACTCAACAGGTATCCATTGCTGATCAGGTCTTCCTAATCATGCAGGCCTTGAAGTCAGAATCGCACTGGGGAAAAAATATATCAGCCTTCGTTCTGCCTAAGGCTTTTGGGTTGAATATCAGTTTATGGTGTGCATAATAAGCTGGGTAAATATTAATAAAATTAATTCAAACATTTATGACTGATAACCAGATGAAGATTTACTAGTTTTTTTTCTGATAGAAACCATGGCAGAAATGGTATTCATTAGTAACTATTTTTATTTGATTGGGATATAGTGTGCTTAAATGATGTCCCCTTGGATTTTTGCACTAGGGCATTTCAGCTATGTAGACTGTTTATACAAATTTTAAAGGAATCAAAATTTCTCCTTTCAAATCTGCCACTCCTACATGAGGACTGTGAGCAAAGGCTTAATTTAAAAATAACTTAAACCACTAAATGTTTTATTTAATAGGCTACTGTTACTCAGACACAGGATTGGTTTACTCTAGCCAAGCAAAGTCAGAACATGATCACTACTGATTCTATTACTCGTCCTGTGACATCTTCTCATGTTCGTTTTTTAATTGATCCTTCAAAGTCAACTTCTACATGTGAAGGTAATGTTAACCATTGAAATTATATGTGAGGGTGGCAGACATGGATGGACAGCCTTACAAACTAAATCAATCAATCAATCAGTTTGTCAGTGTTGGTTTTCCAACTTGTTTTATTTAATGTTTTAAATAAAAACTTACATTATTTTTCTTCTGAGTCCTTCACCCTGTTCTCCTTCTCCTTCTCCTCCTTCTCCAAAACCTTCTAATTGTGTTAGGCATCTTTAATGAACTTTCAGGGACAAGTGAGATAAATACCACTTAATCACTGCTACCACTTCTCTGGAGCCTTAAGGTTACATAATGGGGAACCTTAATATGGGCTGAAGGCCATAATGTAGTAATTGTTTATATACACAATGATGTAGTAGTTGTGTATATCTTATTGATCTTATTTGAGAAACCTCCATGGAAGATTGCCATTAGGGATAGGGTGAGGATAGGGTGAGATGAGAATGTGGGTTGCATCAGGGAAGTGTGGTTGTGGTACCAGGTTTTTCTGTTTTTTAGTTTTATCATTGTTTGTTTTATGAGTATATATATTGTTTTATTGGCTGTAAGCTACCCAGAGTTGGTTTTAAGATGGGTGGCTATACAAATGTTTTAAATAAATAAATAAATAAAATTAATAACATGGGGCAGCCATGTTCTGAGAATTGCTCCAGCTGGAGTGCCTGTTGCCTTAAAAATTCCCTAGCAGAAAGATATGGGGTAGCAAAGATCATGTAAAACTGCCACCACAGTTATGCTGGCATTGGAGGCTTTGTTTCAGCTCTCCTGTTTTTTTATAACACAAGAAGGTACAGGAGAGTTTATAGGGCAAGGTAGAAAAAAAACAGACTTTCCATATCATGGGAAACTGAGGAGGTAACACTCTTCCTTGTTCTTCTTAAACAAAAGGACTATGCAGGGCAAAAAAAAGACTATTGTTCCTCAATACATCCTCTGGCTTTTTTCTCTGCATTGGATAAGCATGGAGAATAATCTCCTTGCTTGTGTGATGCCAGCAAATGATGTTTGGTGACACTACTTAATGGAGGGGCTGATGTTACTCTATTAAGCCTTGTCCACTAGTAGCATCCAACCTATCAGATAAACTAGGGGACCACATATAAGTGCCAACCTGAATGCAGTTCTTTATCCCTGACTCAGTGCTTCACATTGTGACTAGACTAGCCACTCAAGCCCTATAGGGCTTTAAAGGTGGCATATGTTTTTTTAAACCCAGGTGACAAAAAGATAGAAGAGAGGGAAGCAGAAGGAGGACTGAGTGTTCCATTGATGGGGCTCATTTGCCTGCTTGCTGTCAAGAAGAAAATTACATTAATATATAGGCTTCTGAAAAAGGACCTTATTATATACTGTAGGTGTATCGAAGTAAAAGTTGGTGGTTCTTCAATACCTGAATTCCAAGGAGAATGGGAGCAAAAGGCTTCTAGGAAGCAAACCACTCTTTTTCAACTTTTTCAGCCCAGCAATGCAGTCCAAAATGGTCTTCGCCAGTTGTAATTTCAGTTGTGTTTTTTGGTCTGTAGGAGAGGGATTCCCATCCAGTGAAAGTACAGTCCAGCATCTGAGATGTTTTGAAAAAGGGACCAGCAACAAGTAAAGCTGTTTAAGAACTGACAACATACAGTCACTTTGGACAATATATGTTCTGATCAATGGTGATATTTTGGATTAATAGGAGTTACCTAGAACTAAGGTTCTCCACTGCATTCTTCTCAGTGTGTGTATTTTCAAAATAACAATATGGATAGGACCAAAATGGTCCTTAATGTCGTTAAAAGATTGAGTGGACCTAGCAAGGTGGATAGCTATAGTTTTGAGGATAGCTTTGTAATGAGTGTATGGTTGTTGTTGATACCTTTTTCCAGGTTTCCCCCCCCCCCTTGGCAATGGGCATGTTTCCTTCTCCCACCCAGCTACTGTCCTCTTCCTTCCAATTCTATCCTAACAATGTTACATTGTGCATTTATCTTCAGATATGAAGGTTCAAGAACTGTGTAGCTCTTCTTCATCCATTGTTAATGCAGCTATTTGCAGTGGTCATTTAGGTAAGTGGCATTTGTGGGCAAGTTCCATTTATAGCAGGAATGGGCAACATTTGAGAAGTCAAGGCAAAACTTAGTCTTGCAAACTTCCAAAGGGCTACAAGAGGGCATGTTACTAAGAAGGCAGAGCCAAGCAATTTTGTCCTTTTTTTATTAATTAGACTTTAAAACTGGGAATGGGAACAAGAGGTGTCTCAAGGCAATTTGTCAGCCTTAAATCCTCTCCTCTGGACCAACAAACACAACTGAAATCACAATGGAATGGGGCATTTTGGGATGTGTTGGTGGGTTGCAAGAGGAGTGGTTTGCTTCCCAGGGGACTCTTGTTCCCATTCTTGAATGTTAGAAAAATATCAAAATGGACTAAAATTGTGCTGAAAACAGTCATTTTGGGGTTTGGGGACGGTTGGGACTGGGAACAGGAGACTTCTGGGAGAAAAAACATCACTCCCATTCTCAGTCATAGTTTTGAATAAAAAAGTTAAGAAATAGTGCAACCAAATCTTGGTGGTGTGATTTGGGGTGCTGGGCACAGGCTGGCATCCATATTACAGGTTGCATAAATGCATGGCAGAGAAATGCTACATTTTATTGTATTTGCCATAGAAATTTAGGGAAGTGGTATTCTTGAATTCTTGCATTTACTTATAAGGTAGCTGAGGGTGTATGTATTAATGCCCTGGCTTTCACTGTACATTATCCTTTAATTAATCCCTAAAGGAACATATCGCAGGAGAAGTCCTTCTACTGGACTTTTTCAGTAGCCGTGGTACCGTTAATGTGATGGGAGAATCTTTCAGCTCTAATATAAGCATAGAATTGAACCATGAAGTGCAAAGAGGCTTAAGATGGAATTTCTTTACAAGATTATTTCCCTTGAGAAGATATACAGTTGCAGATTTAAGACATTTATGACTATTTATATATATGGATGGTGTGTTTTTTGGTAAATATACAAGAGGAGCAGAAGATAAATAAGCTGGCACTTTGTACCTACACAGAAGCACTGGCTTCAAACCAACATATTATGTCATATATGCTTTGGGTGTTTTGGGGCATACATGGGACAAAACAGTACTTTTTTTTGTAAATGGAATGAAATGGGACTGTTTAGTTCCAGGCAGAATTGATTTGTCAGGGGAAGGGATGAAAAACCCAAGGATATTAGCAGAGGACAGGAGACAAAGGAGGGGAGATATTGGGGTGCTTGGCTGGCTGACTGGCTGGCTGGCTAGCTGGCTGGCTGGCTGGCTGGTGGGGTATGCCAGGCTGCAACATCAACAGCAGCTGAGAGGTGAGTGGGTGGGAAGTTGTTGGAAAGATTGGGTGGGCAGGAAGGCCAGCAGAATATTATGTTGTGGTGGGACTTGCTTGGGGAATAGAGGAAACAACACATGCTTGCCTACTGAACCCATCCAGGCTTTGTTTTGTCTAAATGCCATAACCATAAAAGTTGTCCAGGTTTTGACTCTGCTGAGCTGTGCCTGGCCTGAAACTGTTTGACAGAAGCTCTGGAATGTAATGATTTCTTCTGGGTTCAAAAGAAAATATTCTCCCCCTCTCATTTTTGCATACTCCTAGACCTTCTTTTTTTTCACATTCAGGCTGAAAAATAAATCCAGACAGTTATGATGGGAGACAAATCATGGTGACTTGGTGCAGTTCCTAGCTATCATTGGAGAATAATGTTAATTCAACTACCCATAGTTATGTTCTGACATAGAAAGCTCTGAGGAAAGAAGCCATTTTTACTTAATCAAATGCATGTTTATGTTAGTATGTTGGTGGTCTTTGGAGAACTGATCTCTGGTTTTAATGCAGGATTTGAATCCAAGCTTAAGAAGAAGCACAGCTTAACTGATATTCCACTTGTTCAGAAGATAGAAGATAGTAGATGCGTAGAGGGCTATTCTACGTCACTTCCTGAAAGTCCTTCACGCACTTTATTAAGAGCATACTTAGGACAAAATTGGGATCTTACTTCTCAGGAGAGAAAGAGTGAAGACTTCATCGAATATCAAGAACTGGCATCTTTTCAAACTGTAGATGAGTTTTCTTTAGCCTACGTTCAATATATACTAAGAAACTCTATTGCAATAATCACTGGCCAGCCCCCTGAACCCAGCCCTTTTCACGTCAATTTCAGTAGAACACCTAGAGTGTATATATATGAGATAGCAAGCACTGAACAGTTCATGGACCTTTCCTTAGAAAAGCCTTCTCTGCCTGGGGTTGATGGAGTGGATGTGAAGAGTGAAATTTCTGCAAAATCAGAAAAGGATAGCACTGAAACCAGAGCTGCTTGGTGTGTTGGCCACAAGACATACGATATTGGTAACAGACATGAATTTGAAAGATTTAAGAAATTCATCAGAGGAACTTTGGGAGAAAGGTATTGGTGGCTTTGGATGGATATTGAACGTCTGAAGGTCCTGAGGAATTTTAAAAGGCAGAAAAGGTATGTCCAGATTTTAATAGAAATAAAGTGAGCCTTTGAAGATGTAGCTGTTGAATGAGTTTAGCATCTATTTTCATATTGCTTTATGCTTATTTGTCAGATCTTCATTCTTAGGGCAATGTACAATATTTAAGGAATATATAATAATTTGCTACTGCACTTCAGAAAACAATGCACAAGTACAAATCTTTTGCTCTCAATTTCTGAAGCATCCTTATAATAGTACAGTATATTGGTAGCTAAAAGAAAATTCAATATGATATAGAAAAGCAAAGTCGATCTATTTCTACCTCTCTTTCCTAACTGCTAAATGTGATGGATCTTTAGTTACAATACACAAACAATTACAAGGAAGTTTTAGAAAGTAATGGCAAAAGATTGAATGATCAACTGAAGCCCCACTTATATGGAGAGACCAAGTCAGAAAGAACTCCAGATTTTTTCCACCATGCCCATTCTCCTTCTCTTCCATCACTTTCTGTATTCTCCTATCCAGTACTGGCACAACTGCTAGAGAAACCCAAGTCTTCAAACTAGCTTGTTCCTCAAACTGATACAGGATTCAGGTTCTGAAAATGAGATAACTAGGTATGGGCTCAGTGCTTTGCCCTGTGCTATTTTATATCTACATGAAGTTGCTGGTGGAAGTCATCCATCAGTATGGAGTGAAGTGTCACCAGTACACTGATGACACCAATTTTAAATTTCCAACCCAAGCTGAGACAGAAATGCTGTGAAAGGTTTGTACCAGTGCTTGGAGGCCATAAGGATCTGGATGGGGCAAAATAAGCTTAGACTGTTTCCAAAACAGAGCTCCTGTTTGTTAATAGGTACCCAAACAACATCAATCCCAGTGGTTACTCTGCATGGGGACTGCGCCCCAACCCCCAAAGAAGCTGGTCTGTGCTCAGGAGTCCTCTGGACTTGTGGCCAGGGGGGCCTTTGCCCAAGCTTGACTGATGCATCAGTTGCAACACTACTTCAGTCTGGATGTTGTAATTACAGTAACTCATGCCTTAATCACCATTCGGCTGGACTATGTTGGGCAGCTTTTGGACCTGGAAGCTATAGCTAATAAAAATGCAGCAGCTAGAGTGCTGGCAGGTCAGCCCCTCCAGTGCAGAATCAGACCTATTTTGAACACACTGAAGGTTACTAGTAAGTTTCTGGGCCCTTTCAACATGCTGGTCATTACCTTTAAACCTTCATAGCACACCACCATGTTACATCAGGTTAGAACAGAACTTGCCCATCAGATCCATTCATTGTGAGAGGCCAGATGAGAAACACTGCTGTTATGATATACATAGGGTATGGAAGGGGGGCTGGCTTTCTCTGTAGTAGTCTCCACTTTACGGAGGTCACTCCATAAAGAAAGATCGTCCCTTTGGCCTTTGCTGAATGGGGTACCATGACGTTTTTGTTTTTCTCAATAGGAAGTTTGTTGTATTAGTTACTTGCTTTAGTTGTTTTGTTGTTTTATTGTTTACCACCCCGAGTCTGTTAGGAGTGGGGTGGCCTAGAAATGCTGTAAGTAAGTAACTAACTAAATAGTGGATATGGGGTAAGAGCAAGTGTCCAGCTGAAAAACTGTTTCTCCCCAAAATAGTAAGGTAATTTGTACTAAGGCAGGCTTAATATTCATAATTCATAATTAAGTATTCATAATTAAGGTTTTGTTTTATGGAGGATTTGGAATAACAATGATTAGGAGAGTGAACTGCAACTTTATAAAGAACAGTAATTTTTTAAAATAACTTTTTAGGGTATATAGGTGCTGCGAGGGCCCCGGGAAAAGTATGGGGACCTCCTTTCTTGAGTTTTATTAATTGTTTGTTTGCTTGTTCTATCAGTTTATATGGCCGGCCAAGATGTACTTATCTCTTACTATCTCTCTCACTTGCCTTTGCCTGGCTGTTCTGGGGGTGGTTACGGGCCTGACAATTGTGATAGCAGCTACTGCAATGGCATGATTTATGCTGGTTGGCCATTTCATAGCACAGAAGCTGTACTGGAAATTAGAAGCTATACTGGGAACACACCAAGACATTTAAATAGCAGATAGCTCCCTTTGGGGATCCTCAGCTCAAGCTGGGCTGACAAGGAGATTGGGCTGTGTTGCTCTGATGTCCGCCTTGGCCTTGCATTAACAAAAGGAGCATTTGTCTGGTTCAGCTTCCTGCCCATTTCAAAAACTTTTTTTATGGTGTGCAATTATTATGCTTTTGCCAGGTGGGTCAACGTAGCAAAGTGTTATTACCACCAGACTCTGGGCCATAGGTATGTTGGTCCATCCTTAATGATGCCAGAGCTAGAATATGTTTGC